ATGTGTGTGTGTGTGTGTATATATATATATATATATATATATATATATATATAGTCTAAAAAAGACCCACCTCAGAATAAAAGACACATACAGTCTGAAAGTAAAGTAAAGGAATGGAAAAAAAATTTCATAAAAATGGAAATGGAAAAGAAAAGTTGGAGTAGCAATGATTTTATCAGGCAAAAAGACTTTAAAATAAATGCTATAATAAGACAAAAAAGGACATTAAAATTTTTTTATTGATTGATTTTTAGAGCAACAAAAAGGGGGAGGAGAAACATTGACTTGTTGCATTATTTATGCATTCATTGGTTGATTCTTGTATATTCCCTGACTGGGGATTGAACCCGAAAACTTTGCATATCAAGACGACACTCTAACTGAGCTACCTGGTCATGGTCTTTCACTAAATTAAATGTAGGCTGATTCACTTTGTCAAAGTTTAGTTTCCATTACTAGAGATATAAAACTCATTCAATAAATGGTCTTACCTGCTCCTGTTTGAAGCTAGGCAACATTTCGGTCAGCATTAACAATTTGCTTGGTGGGACTAGAAGCTTCCTACCTTTGTGCATGGTCATTTCCTTTATGAGGGTGTTGTAACTAGATATCAGTTTTCAACCCCAATATCCACTCTATACACAGCGTCAACCATGGCAGACTTATATAACAAGTGAATGTGGTCATGCAAACATGAAAAGGTGACTACTATCCCTTGATGCCAAACTAGAAAGAGAAAAGTAAGTTCAGAGAACACATTATGACTCATCAAAGTCCTAAAGGAAAAGCTTCATGTGAATATAACATTCTGTGTAGCCTCCCAGAGTCCTTTTAGTCTCCAATTATATTTGCTTTTGTGTGATTTTCTGCAAAACAAAAGAAACCCTATCATTTTTCCCCTTAACATCAATTCTTGAATTTTGCTTTACCTCAGAGATGAAGCTCATGCTATATGTTCTACAATCTTCTTTTTATACCGAGTGAATGGTGCTGCCTTTTCATTTTTTCTGAGTGTGAGTCTTATTTTATAAAATTCATACTTGCTGCATTGCAAGCTACAAACAAGAAAATTCTTCAGAGGAAAGACCTGAAGGGAGAAAGTGGTACTTTCTTAGACCAATGTGAAGAGAATAGAAGATGGAATATCTATATTTAATCTCTGCTCCCAATGATAAATTTTATTTTTCAATTCCCACAGTTGTGCATATAATGCATGGATATCCATCCCTCCAGGTACTGCATCAAAATTTTATATGAGCTGAAGAATATATACATGTAACAAAGGGAGTGTTTGCTTTACTTTCCCTCTGACAAAATGCCAGAAGAAACGGCCAATCTCTTCCTCTAGTGTTTTACTAAGATTGCTCTCTTTTTGAAATTTGGCATGGCAAGTGGAGGTAGAATCTTAAAGGGATAAAGGGCCTTTATTCGCAAAGAAATGTGGTTTAGTCACCAATTTCTGAAAAATGGTATGTGAGGTTGGCACGCCAGGGAAACAAATTAGAGCCCTCCTCAAATTAAAACCTAATATTACCTAATGTAATAAGTATTGCCATTAGGTTAACGCCCTTTTATAGACAACTAGGCTATCTGGCTATTTTATTGGTTGCAATTTATTAGGCAGTTAGAAGTTATACTTTAACTACATTACTAATTTTGTTTAAAATTTCTGACTGTATTTTTTCCAGTTAACAGTTATACTGGCATATCCTCAGGCAGAAAAAGTTCTTACAAAAGATTCTTCAGGGCACACTATATTCTGTTTCTCTTAGATGCATTATCTTTTGTTGTCTTTGGGAAAGACAGAAAATTATGAAGGTAAAGTTGACAAGTAAGTAACAAGGCCTTAGGAAAGGACAGAGTAGGTGATCATTGACACTCCTAGCCACTTGAAAATGGTGAGCTTGCAGACTCTACTTCTGCTAGCAGTGGACCAGAGAGGTAAACAATTCTTGCCACTTAATGACCACATGCAGCATTCGGCGTTCCTTCCATTGCTTGGCGCCTTCAGCAGATCCAGTGCATAATTTTAAGCATCTAGAACTGCATTTCAGACCAGATTGCTCAAATAGAGTCAATTTTGCAACAGTGAAATGGTCTTAAAATAGGATTTTACTCTAGGGAGAAAAATCCTCAACCAAGTAGTCACAGTGCACTTTGAATGACTAATTTAAGCCATTACATTACAAAATAAGGGATAAATCATACTTTCATAACACTATTGTATAGGAACAGTTTTAATTTTAAGAGTCAAGCACCTACATTAATCTGAGTCTAAAATAATAGGCCCCTGATTTAAAATCTAACATTCTTTCACACTTCATAAAACTAAAAATAAAATTGTCTCAGCAAACACTGACCTATTCCTCCCGCCAAAGTACTGTATTGCAAGTAAAACTGGAACAAGAGGTCTCAAAACCGCAAAGTGCCAGCAGTTAACTGTTTGTAGCTTTAATTGGTCTTAAATGTGGGGTGGGAGAGAAGATTCTATGGTCTGTAGAGAAAAAGAGATTTATTCTCCTTCTTAAATCAAAAGCAGACTCCATGCTTCAACTACCCCCAAACCTGCCCGCCCCGCCCCCACGGGGTTGTTTCTCCAAATTTTTGTATATATTTTACCGAAGATGACAGGTGAGGGAACGTCAAAGTGCTGTGTCTGGTCCACAAAGTAAACGGAAGGGTTAGGGTGGGTTTATTTATTTAGAAAGCATTCAGCCTCTCAGCTGTTTTTCCCCATTGGCATTTGGAAGCTTTAAGTCCTTTAGAAAAGAGGCAGATTTGGCAGGAATGTTCTTTGTGCCTGCCTCCCTTTTTACGGGGGAGAAAGAGGGCAGATTTATAATTACAGCTTTGGGGGGGCGGGGGGCGATAAAAAGTTTCAGCCAGCAGGACAATGCCTGTTATTTGGTGTGCGTGTGTGTATGTGTGTGTGTGTGAGTGTGTGTTTCACGGGCAACACTGTGCCGCAAACAGCTTTGGTGCCACTCGGAGCCCTTCCCCTGTCCCCTCCCTTTTCCTCTGCAGGCTCGCTTTGGCAGGCGGAGGCAGTTAAATTCCAGCACCTTCTCCACCGAACCCCAAACTACTACGTGCTATTACTACGGCTGCCCTCCCTTTCGATGAGCCTCCTCTGCTTCCCCAGCCTTCCGGGGGGTGCCCGGCAGCAACCCTGGACGAGGACTGCCCGGAGAGGGATAACGGGCACCCAGCTCCATCAAGGCTTGGGGCTTTCTGCGTCCTGCGCAGTTTCTCTGCTCCAGGCACCAACACGGCCCGAGAGCCGGCGCCTTGCAGACACACACGGATCCACGCATACAGTAGAGCTGTCTCCGTCCACATTCTTGCACACCGCCCCCTACTCCCCCCCACCCCTCCCCGAGCTCCCAGAGTCGCTGAGCGGGTCGAGTGACAGGCGCTTCCCGCCAACCCGCGCCGGGGCGGGCAGGGAGGAGCGGCGCGCGGGGCCAACTGCGGCGCGTCTTCCGGCGCCCGTGGAGGCGGCGAGGGTGGGACGCGGGGCGGAGCCCGAGTTTAGGAAGAGGAGGGGATGGCTGTCATCAATGAAGTCATATTCATAATCTAGTCCTCTCTTCCTCTGTTTCTGTACTCTGGGTGACTCAGAGAGGGAAGAGATTCAGCCAGCACACTCCTCGCGAGCAAGGTAAATATAACTTACAACTCCTTTCTCCTCTTTCCCCTCCCTCCGGCCTCACGGTTGCAGCCGCCGCACTAACCCCTCCGGCACCGCGCCGCCTTCGCTGGGGATTATTCATTATTATCCTAATTATTATTTATTGTGCATGCACGGAGACCAAAACAAACAGGCGGGCCAACCGCCACAACAACAACAAAAAAAGCCCGCCTCCTCCCCGCGGGCCTCAGGTGGAATGATCTAACGACAGAACCCGGGCGGCGGTGGAAGAAACGGGAAAGTTTCAACCGAACCTTGCTGTTCTAATAATAACAGTAATAATTACTACTTCAAGGCGGCAAGAAGGGGAAATCCCAACAAACCGCAGCCTTGACCCTGGGTAGGCAGTCAGCGATGCGCTGCCAACTCAAGGTTGCAACGCACACACTTGGAAAGGTTGCAACACCCGTTCCCCATTCCCTTCAAAGCTTGGGGGGTGGGGGTGGGGGGGGTGCTGAGGATAAGGGAGGAGAATGAAAACGCGACAGTTCATCCCGAGCAGTCCTCCCCGGAAGAGTTGGAAGTGGAGCGGGAGAGGAAGGCAAGGAGCCTGGGCTGGCGGCGAGGCGCCAACGAACGCGGCTGGCACTCGCTTCCCGGAGACTTGTTTAAAAGGTTCCGGCTGCAGAGACCCGAGCGATTGGCGGCGGGAGAAGCCAGAGCTGGAGCACCGAGGAGGAGCTGCCACCGCTGCGGGGCCGGTGCGTGCCGGAGCGGAGGTGTCACCTCCACTTTGCTTGTTCCCTCGGGCGGGGATGTGAATGCCGACCAGTAGGCAGGCCTTTAGGAAAAAGGGCTGCCGGGGGGCTGTGCCCGGGGCTCTGCGGGCGTCCCTGCCCCTAGTACCTGGTGACCGCGCGGGCTCGGTATTGAAGTTCGAGGTGTCCCGCTCCGGCCGCACTGCTGGGAAAAGGGCACCGAAGAAGGAGGTCGGACGTGCCCTCCAGGTTTAGTTACCCTGCCCTCCCCTCCCCGGGTCTGTCTGCTTTTGCTTTGCGTCTTTCCCTAGCTTGAGTCCCGGGAACCGCGGGCGTAGGTCGCCCACAACCGCCCGGGTGCTAGGGGCGCTCTGGGGCCAGGGAGAGCCACCGTGGCTGCGGGCCGGGAGGCCATGATCTGGATAATCCTCTCTGTCTTACTGTCACAAACAGGACCCGCGCGCACCCGGGCAGCGGCGGTGGCGTTCGCCGGAGAAGGGCTGCGGGGGGGGCGGGCAGTGCGGGCGGGAGGCGGGGAGACACAGTAGAAGCCTTTTCCCAACGATAACGCGCACCCCATCTTTCTCGTTTTCTGCTTCCGAGTTGCTTTATTCCCATCCCAACCTGGTTTACCCCTTCCTCTGCTCTCTCCCTCTATCCGGCAGTCTTCCCTCCTCCCGTTTGCGTTGCAAAACACGGCCATGCCTTCTGCAAAGGTGTCGCGATGCACTTCCCCAAATAACCAGTCCGGCGCGCCAGCCCCTAGCCGCCCTCCGGCTGCGGGGCGCACTCGGAGCCCAGTGCCCCGGGTGCCCCGCTCCAGGCCTTGCAATCTGAGCTCGGTTGCACCGCGAGGGCCGGACGCTGTAGTGCAGGCTCCAGGAGAAACCGGTGCCCTGGTCTGGGCACTCGGGCCGGTTTCCGGTACACGCGGGGAAATCGCCTCCTGCCAGTGTCTGCGCGCTCGCCCCCGCCGCCTGGATTGCATTATTATTTTTATCCGGGTTGCAGTTTGCAGCTGATCTTGGTGAGCGCGGGGCTGGCCGAACTGCTGGGGGTGGAGGGTGGGGGTGGAGGGAAGTTGGACGCGGATCAGGCAGGAAAAAAAAGTTTGGCACAGCCGCTAAGTAGAAGGGGTAGAAGGGGGTGGCGAGCTCCCGTGGCTCGCATCTCTGCGCCTCGGGGCAGGCGCGAGTGTGTCTGCGCGTGAGTGTGAGTGTGTTGTGCGCGCCGGGGCCAGTGCGTCGGGAGCAGTGGCTCGGGCAGACGCCCCTGCCCGCGCCCTCACCCGGAGCTCTGGGAAGACAGGCGAGGTTTGGTGGCGGGGGCTGGTTGGGGTGGCGTGTGCGTGTGGCTGAGTGTGAGTGTGAGGGTGCGCGCGCGAGCGGCAGAGAATCAGGAAGTCACAGCAGCGAAGCGCACACAGACATGTTTGATCGCCGTGACATGACGCGCGCGAGCGAGGAAGCGGCGGCCGGGGCCGGGCCGCGGGCTCCGGCGCGGGCCTAGGGCTCCGGCGCGGAGTCCGGCTCTGGGCCGCCACCGCAGGCTCCGCGAGCCCAGCTCCTCTTTTTGTTCCGCGTCCCCCAGGTAAGAAGCCTACGTCGCCGCCGCCCGCTGTGTGCGGATCTTTCCAGTACTTTCCCTGCCCGCTCCCTCTGGTCTCCCGGCTCGCTATTCCTGCAAAGTCAGGCAGGCGGGGGAAATGGGCTCCTTGCCCTTCGATCGATTGCGTGGAAACTTTCCAGAGGGAGGCATCGCGAGGGGGAAGGAGAAGGCCTTGCTGGCTGTTGTCGCTTGTCAGTCCTTTCTCCTGCGGGTCCCGAGAGTGGAGTCGCTGCGCCCTGTGTGTTCCACATTCAAACTTCGGGCCTAAACGTGCCTCCAACTCTGGCAGGATTTACTCCAGCAATAAAATAAATATTCTAAGTTGTCCACTTGGTCTTGCCAGGCGTTTGCATTTTTAAAAAGAAGGAGACAGGCTCCGGAGTCGAGAGAAGTGGGGGTGTTGTGCAAAATCCATTCCTTCTTTAGTGTCTGCACCGGTTGTTATGTAATTTTAGTAGCATAAGGGTGCAAAGCCCATTCTGGGCTTCTCCCCTCCTTTGTTTATATAACTTTTGGAAGAGTTTTGCAAGGTTGTCGCCTTTTTTCCCTCCTGCCTAACCTGATGGAGGTTGGTGCTTTTGAAAAAGCAAAGTGACCCTGTTTAGTATTAGAGAGGTGTCATCATTGTCATTATGTAGGTTGTATTCCTAAGTATATGTAATGTTAGAGCATTAGGAAGACATTCAGGATATAAGTTTGTCTACTGCATTGAGTGGTTATTTTTCACATTTGTGTGTTACCAATAGCAGAGTTAAATTTTCAACTTCCATTTCAAAGGACTTTTTGTACCTGGTTGTGCCCTGCTTGTAGGAACAGAATGCTTGTATGGGCAGAAAGATTGTTGATTGCACGTTGAGAAGAAAACTCCTGTCCAACCAGTAAAACTCAGAAACTACTGAGTTGTGATAAAATAAAAAGTAAGCTCAGTGTTGTTGTATGTGTATTTCTTTACATAGGCACATTCAGATGTTTTCGGTAATATTTTCCACCAGTTATTTGGGGGACCACTACCCAGGGCTTGTTTGCCCACATTAGACTTGGTAGGCTTCCAGCTTACGGCTTGCACACTGGTAACATGCTAAGAAGTGTGTCAGGTTTGAATTCAAGTTAGTGCATTGTTATGCAAATCGAGACACACTTTTAAGAATCTAATTGCCCTTTTAGTCCAATTTTTTTTTTTTTTTAAGCTTGCTGACAACTCCAAATGTTTGCTACTGGAAAGAAGGGATTTAGAAATACCCATTAGGTACAAATGATATTTCTTAACATGGACTGAAGAAAAAAACCAAACCTCTAGACTGAGGTCCATCTCTCCTTTTGGAAGGTATTGAAGAGAGATGCTATATTGGTAAAGAATATTGTAAAATAAATTAGGAGTTTGGGGTATCAGAACCCTTGAAGAATTGGCAGAGGTGAGGGCGTGCTTCCTTCAGTGCAGTCTCTTATGAGTTACATCAGTTACATCCCAGCTGTGGGACTTGCTGCACTGTGGTGTTTCATAGAAAATAGTCACTGCAAGAGTGTGTTCAAAGCAGCCTCAGATCTTTTCTTTTGTTCGATTTTAAAGTGGTTTTTGAACATGTCTCCTCAAGTTTCTTGAAAAGTGCTTTGACTAGAACCCAAGGCTTAGAATTGACCAAAAAAGTGCCTCTGCTTGTATTATATTGTCAATGCTTGAATTCTATGTAAAATACTACTGACAGTATAACTAGAAGGTAAGACTTTGGCAAACAATTATTTTTCCTTTTATTTCCAATTATTTTTATTTAAAAATTTTTTCCTTTAATTAAATTTAAAGTCATTTTGCTGACCAGGATGAAAGCACATCCCATTCTTTTCGAGGAGATAATTGGGATACCTCTTCTAGTACCGTAATAATTTGACATTTCACTTTAAAGACTTATTATGTATTCAAGCAAGTCCATAAAAGAAAACTTTCATAAATTATAAAAGTGGTGTATGCCCTTTTTTCCCTTTAGAAGTCATCCTCTGTAAACAAGGCCTTTGTTTGTCAAACTCTTCGAGGTCAGCAGCTTTTTGATCCTCCAGAGAAATAATAAATCACTATTTATGACATCTTGACATGCTGCTGTGAGAACAACTGAATTATCACAAACATAATGCTAAGGGGTGTTTCCCAGCACTGGCTTATTGAGGTGTGTTGATAGGAGCTGATTTGACCACCAGAAATTTTGATTCTCACTGTTTCTGGTCAAGATAATTTTAAGGGAAGTCATGGACAGTTTGTTGCTTACCATGAGTGGCCTTAGAAAGCTCTCTATAAATGAGTCACATTTCTCCAGTACCTCTGGTGAAAAAAATGAGAAAATTTCCCTAATGTAAAAAGCCACATTTGGAACCTACTTCTCACTTTTTATTTTTATTTTTTTATTTTTTTTTATGTAAAAGAATTATCTTCTAATTTGCTCCAATTCCTTAATTGTGTTCTGTAGATTGTTTTTGACCAGAAACTCTTTGCAAGAGTTTGTACCATAGAAATTTAATCTCTAGCCAGTTAGTGAAGTCATGGATCATTTCATAAGTAGTTGGGGATACAAAATACAGATAGATGGTGGTAAGTTATTTGGTAGAGTATTTTAAAGGATCTGTGGTGTTTCTTTTTTCTACATAGGAAATCATGACTTTATAGGAGACATAGGAGTCTAAAACTTAGTTCTGCCAGAGTCACTGTGAAAGATAGTATATTTATTTGCCTAAGATATGTATCACCAAGTTAAATGGGATCGTGCAATCTGGGTTTGGAAAACTTTACAACTTTATTACTGTTTGCTATGACTTTATTTTTTCTCGTAATATAGCACTTTCCTTGTAAGTATTCAGGATATATTAGAGAAAGCCTTCAAGTAATACCAGTTTTAAAGATACAGTCAAAGATACTTGAATAATTATAATTTAGCAAAACATATATTAAAGCTGACAAAATTCAGGAGCTAAAGAACTGGGTCTTTTGAATGTTGCATATAAACAATATTTAATTCTAATTATGAGTTCATTACTCATTAATTCATTCATTTGGAATGATGTTTTAGATATGGAAAACAGGATTTTTGAAATGTTGACATAAGTAGTGCCCTTCCAAACTTCTGGATTTATAATACTTTATTATATAACTGAAGCCTACCACGAATTATTACTCTTTTGTTATATATGTGAGACTTTCAGAACATTTAGACAGTTATAATCAGGCTGTATGCCTCTATGATTTAAAATCTTTTGAAATCTAACAATATTCTGTTGTAGTTTTAGGTATACAAGCATCAACGTAAGCACCAGTCTTACCAATATGCCCTTTACCTCTATGCAAGCACTAGTGGTTTAGAAATATTTTAGAAACTGACTTAATTTAAATTTAGGCTGGCCCTTTGTAAATTGATGAATGGAATCCACAGAAGTTGAAATAAATTAAAAAACCATCAAATATAATTATAGCTCATCCCCCTCCTTTTTTAAAATAATGGTTAATAATGGTTTTATTTGTTGATTTTAAAGGAAGAGGGGAGGAATTCATTGGTTGCTTCTTGTATGTGTTCTGACCGGAGATCGAACCCACATCCTTGGCATATCCAGATGATGCTCTAACCAACTGAGCTGGCCAGGGCTTTTTTTTTTTTTTTTAAATTGAATGTAGAATTTGGGAGTTAAAAATACTTAAATAGAAAAAAAAATCTCTGACCAAAAAGAGTGAGGATATGTTGGTGTATAGATGTCATCAAACTTGGAAGTTGAATGTACCCCATCTCCCCACTGTGCTTTTGAACCTGGCACGTAATGGCTTTGAAAATATTGGCAATGCTTTTGTAGCTTGGTGGTGTGCTGTATTCCTATGTGTCCTAAAGTACTCTTAAGCAAAGTCCGTAATTCTGTAAAAAATAAATGACTACTGTTGAGAATGTGTGTGTTTAAAGAATGTACCTGAACATGTAAACATGTCTAGCAAATGGTAAACTGCACAGGTCATGTGATACAGGAACAGCTCAGGGTGAGCTCTCTTGGGCCCATGTGGTAGATAAGGTCCTGGAGATGGGGTAGGGTTGCTGCCGGAGGAGGGCAGGGGTGCGGGTGGTAGGCTGTGATCATCTGAGAGCAGGAGTCCTGATAGCACAGGAACGGAGCCCAAAGAATCTGTGAGAACGAAGACTAATATACCAATTTTGACCTGGTTGCCAGGACAAGAGGTTTCAGTTGGGGAGACTTTTCAAAAGATAAAAGTTGGAGATGGTAGAAAGACTTGACTTCCAGGCTAAATAAAGTACAACTGTTTTATCCAACGCATATCGGAGGCTTGTCTCTCAGAAGTTTTGAACAAGGGTATTTATGAACAAAAAAATATTTTATTTATTTATTTATTTTTCATAAGAGGTCAGTGCCCCTGACTAAATAGATATTGCATGTTTTAAA